CTCACTGTTGCTATCGCCATTAGTCCTGGATTCACCTAAAAAGAAAAGAAAAGAAATGCATAACCATTAGAAACATGCAATTACATATCTGAATTTCATTTGCTCTCTTTTTACAGTCAGTCTGTGTTAGGTTAGTTGGAAGGCCCATTTCAGCTGTTTATTCCTTATATAGTTATAAAAGTTTTTTGTTGTGTGTATATTATAAAATATTAATAGAAATCTAATATTAGGCCAGGCTCAGGTTTAATCAGTGCATAGTTAAGACAAAATTCTGTTTATGCTTTAACAGTCTCTTGTTAGATCAGAATATTCTGGTTATTTTTGTTTTGGTTATGCAAATTGGGGTAGGATTAAAAGATTAGGATTAAGTTTGATTTGTGGAGCTTAAGTAATGTAAGCAAAATAAGTTTATATTATGTTACTTTAAGGGTTGTGAACTTTATTTCTTCACTGATCTTATTTAATGATATAGAGATTGGATTAAGTAGCACATATTTTGAGGCTTTCACTTTCAGAACTTTAAAATGACAATGTGTTTTTACTACTTATACTTTAGAAGAATTAGTTCAAATTAGATTAGTTCAGGACACAACACCTTGCACATGTGGGGGCCCATAAAATGTTTTTTCATTTTTTATTTTTTTACATCTGCATGGTTGATCTCTTGTCCCAGAGGATTATGAATTATGTCAATAAAAAAAAAATATCAATGAATTCCTAAGAAAACAACATATGCTTTTTGGAAAATTCAATTTAGTTTCTTCAGAAAGAAATGAAAAAAAATCTAATTCTTTTCTTTAATTATTATTTTTTTTTATATAATAAATGGAAGAGAATTTTCATAATTGCGTCCATAGTTGTCTGTCCATTTTTGAGAAGTTTACAAAGATACTTTCAAAAATTTAAACGGTAAAGAACTCTGGGACAAGGGATCATCTGAAGCTTAAAAAAGGAAAAAATTGCAAAACAAGCACACAAAAAGATTGATATTTGTAGTTCATTTTCTGTATTCTTTTATCTATAAATCTTTACCATTTCATTACCGTGGAAACTACTATGTTAAAACTACGATCACTTTTCTTTCAAATGCAATTTGTTGCGAAAAGATATGACAATTAGTCTCCAAGTTAGAAACAAACACACTTGACTCCAGTGAAAAATCGGTTGTTTCTTATTTTATATTTCTTTTATTAATGTTTTCTTGAGTGTACATTCATTTACATGTGTATACCCATGTAAATTAATGAAAAGGTACACAAGCTTATACATGTATGTGTATACGCACATGGACCCGTTAGGTCCGTAAATGATTTATTTAATTTATTGACTTTATTCTTATTCCACTCTATTCTTCTTCTGCATCATCTAACCATGTGATTCTGCCTTGAAACAGTTAAACATTTATGTCACAAGCCGAGTACTTATTATGGAGGGACAGTGAATTGTTTCTTGTTTGTTAGAAATAACCGTTCAGAAAACGTTGATATAAAAAAATATATTTTGAAGTACATATCGCTTATATTCGTTTATCATGGACACCGTCTTGTGATGTAACAATAGGTATCAGATATTTATAGGCCTATCTTAGGAGTTTACAGGAATAAATTTTGTCATACACTGTCTTTAAATCCACTTTTTTTGTAAAAATTTTTGAATTGATTATTTAGTTTCAAATGTGAGCATACACATATTTCTATCAAAATCAGAAAAGTCTAAAGTGGTAGCGACGCTTGAAACTTGGCTGGGTTCCTTTGAGACGGCCATTGATGCGGGTGAGTGCGAGTTTCTTTTTAGAGATATAGACTTTTGATTGCTCATGTATCATTATTGAACTGTTTGTGATTATTATTCATTTCTCTTCTTTTTTTTGCATCATTAATCTTGCACTTTGGGAAGAAACTGTTATAAGACACTGTAATCCATTTCAATAGGTAATGTCATAATACAATGCATCATATTTACTCCTGTAAAGTGAGAGTGCAGAAGGGTGAAAATCGCTGACAAAACAGCAATGAGACTCAGGGTTCTCCCATTGTGCACTGCCTAAATTTTTTGTTGTAGGAGTTTATATTCACATGGGAAATTCTACATTCGTATATGAATATGAAACTGACCATAACTCCTTTTCGACCACTCTCACCCAAAATACCCCCCCCCCCCACCCACCCCCATCACCACCAGGGACGGTCCTAAATTCCACTAGCCCTGAGACACACCCTTCTGCCACATCCTTTCTGTGGTTTTGGTTACATTACAATTACAATCCCCAGGATTGGTGCATCAAGACAGGCATTAAAATATTCTTATAATGTTATAACTGCATAAAAATATCTAACAAACTTAGATGTTCACAGACTATAGATCACTCCCTGCAAGAATTAACAGGATCTCGGTCTGGCTCCACTATTTCATCAGACAGTACACCTTGGCCAAGATAGGAAGGTGAAAATACCTGATTTGAGTCTGATATCTCTCTGAGAAGGTTAGTGGAACTGTAGCTTTACATGATATTACTTGAGGTTTTAAGTAACTTATACCAGAATAGATTAAGCTTATTGGAAAGGCTATGTACAGTATGGAAGGAGGGAGAAGGAGGAAGAGGAAAAGAATAGTAGGGGAGAGAGGAGAAGAAAAAAGGGAAATAATAGAAAGAAGAGAAAGCGACAGATGAGAAGGATGAATTGATATTGGTATCATGTGAAATATTACAAGCATTCTTAAAGTGTAATATTCTTAGACCTTGCTACAAGAAATGGTAGAATATAAGAAGGGATATTGTACAGATAAGAGCACTGAAGGAGTAGTTAAGCCTCTAGGAAGAAATAGCAAAATATGTCCAGTAAAAAGCACACCTGAAGCAAACTGAAGAGGTACATATTCTTGTTATATGGCCATTACAAGCTGAAAGATCTTAAAGCATGATATGATATTCTCAGCATGCATGAAGCCTGTTACCACACAGAACAATGGTTGATCCTTTTTTCCCCCAACTGATGACCTTACATGGAAATATGGACAGACTTAACATTAGCAGACAAAACATTGTATGTCTAAGAAGCGTCTGTTTCAGTGCAGTAAACAGTAACGGATGTGTATATAATGTGTGCATATGTAGACACATTAATAATATTGTATCTTTTGCTTATAAATATCTGAAGTGGAAGTGGTATTTGTGTAAAAAAAAAGTGCAAGAAAGAATATAATTATGAAGCTTTCCTAAAATTCAAACTTCCTTACCTTCCCTCTGACATGTTTACGCATCAAGCGCTGTGAGTGCAGTTGCTTTGGCACTGACTGGAGCTGGAGAAGCTTATTAAAAAAAAACGGTAGTATAGATTTACATCACAAAAGAAAAAAGTGGGAAAAAAGGTAAATTAGGTTAAAATAAAACTTGCTAAAAAGGGACTAAAAGGGTATTTAAAATAAGTATGGGCACTTAGCATTGGATGAAGGGAAGAAGTAGGGAAAAGTCCGGAGGAAAAAGGTCCATGTCTATTACCAAATTGGATTAGATCTTAGTTTGACACAAATATTATCCTTACCCCATTTATACAGAAAGATGTAATGGAATCCTGTTCTTTGTGGATAATTCGCACAGGCTCCAGAGACTGCACCGTCGTCTCTGATGGTGGACCACCATGCTCTGAAGGTTCATGGTGGCTCTCAACGCCCATTTCTGATCCTCCTTCACCAGTTCCTGAACCATCTATACCATCTACAACATCACTCATATCATCATCCCCTGAAAGAATTAAGACCATAAATAGATATCCAGTACTTGCAGAATCAAAGTCTTCAAATGAAGAACCAAAAAGATGAACTTATATTCTGGAGACTATGGGGAAAATCACTGCTTTTGTAATTATTAAAAATTCAGACTGTAAATGATAACTAGTGATGAAAGTGGTAGAGAAAAAAGTGAGAATCCTGAGTAAGTGATGCTACCAATGATGTTCAAAACTGTTATAAACTGTTGTAATATCATGAAATATGCTGGAATAGGAGAGGTATCTGCTTTGAGGTCTAACCCAAGAGATATGGTACCTTAACGGTTGTGCGAGTGACATAACTCATTTTAACAAAGTATTCCCCACAGCATTACTGCAAAACACCTCAAATAAACAATGAAGAACCTTAAACACTATAAGCATTTACCATGATCAGAATACTGTGTAGGCTCTGGTGCTGGTCTCTTTCGTCCAAAGATATATCTGACAAAGACTTCCTGGACATGTTCTTGTCGCACCAAGTAGTTCCACAGGCGTTCTACTGGCTTTACACCTCGCTTGTTATGCCTACAAGAAAAATAAATGACGGTTACATTAACAGCAACCACTCAGTATACAACAGCTTACCAAGCAGTTAATTTTCATGTTTTGAATAACACATATAGGCATTTTTTTTTCCGACAAATACATCTCAAAGTTGTCACTTTTCTTCTCGAGAACTGCAGTCTATTGTGATTGAGAAAGTATTGTATTTGATGTCAAGAGATCATCATATAAATAAACATACTCTGATCTTCTACTTAAGGCTATCATCACTATACTACAATAAAAAATAACTATGTTAGGCATGAAATTACATGAAAAACTAATTTCATTCTATATAACCAATATGATACCTATGAAAACAAATTTCTCATGATAAACTAAAGTATTTACAATCAATGTAAAGTTCTTTTTTTCTTGATTCTTTTTTGAAAAACCATACATTCATCCATACATATTTAAAAAATCAATCTAAGCCTAATTTTGTTAGTCCTATTAAATTACTTTGCTGCATTAAAATAATCTATCAAAATCTTATCTATCTCCCTTCTTGTCGTTATATATATTTTACACCCAACAAATCCTCCTTTGACATTTAAGATTTAAACATTTAATATTATTTCAGTAATAATTATAATTATATTACATAATAACCATTACCATGTTAATTAAGGAAAAAAAAAACAACCAAAACTTCATTATGCAAAAAAAACAACTTCTATTTGGGAAGTGTTAAAATCATATAAATTAGCATTAAATATTTAATAAGATATCTTTCAATATATATATTCATCACAACATCCCATTCAGCGACAAGAAAGTGAGAAGCCAAATTACCATAGGAAGAAAGTTNAATAGAAAAAGTGAGACAAGGAGAGATAGAAGATAGATAGATAGATGAGAGAGAGAAAAAAAAAAGAAGAAAGAGAGAGTGAGAAAAAAAGAGAAAAGAGAGTAAGAAAGAGAAAGAGAGAGAGAATCCATATCACGCCATCACATGCAGCTCCCTCCCTCTCTCCCCCCTTCCCTCCCCCTGCCTGCCCCTGTTGCTGTCGGCGCTTGCTCCACGTCTCTCTCCGGCGTATTTTGATCAGAGTTCCACGTAACCAAGGCTAGTTTCTCAGAACCGGATGCGCCTCAGATATTGAGCGAGAAAGACTTGCCTCCTTGTTGTTCTCCGCCACTGGTGATGATGCTGATGCTGGGACAAAGGGGCGCTCGCTCTCTCGCTCTCTCTCTCTCTCTCTCTCTCTCTCTCTCTCTCTCTCTTCTCTCTTCTCTCTCTCTCTCTCTCTCTCTCTCTCTCTCTCTCTCTCTTCGCTCTCTCTCTCTCTCTCCTCTCTCTCTCTCCTCTCTCTCTCTCTCTCTCTTCTCTCTCTCTCTCTCTCTCTCTCTCTCTCTTCTCTCTCTCTCTCTCTCCTCTTTCTCTCTCTCTCTCTCTCTTCTCTCTCTCTCCTCTCTCTCTTTCTCTCTCTCTCTCTCTCTCTCTCTCTCTCTCTCTCTCTCTCGTCTCTCTCTCTTCTCTCTCTCTCTCTCTCTCTCTCTCTCTCTCTCTCTCTCTCTCTCTCTCTCCCTCTCTCTCTCTCTCTCTCTCTCTCTCTCTCTCTCTCTCCTCTCTCTCTCTCTCTCTCTTCTCTCTCTCTCTCTCTCTCTCTCTCTCTCTCTCTCTCTCTCTCTCTCTCTCTCTCTCTCTCTCTCTCTCTCTCTCTCCTTCTCTCTCTCTCTCTTCTCTTTCTATCGTCTCTTCTCTCTCTTGCTCTCTCTTCTCTCCTCTTCTTCTCTCCTCTTTCCTCCTCTCCTCTTTCCCTCCACCCTCCCCTCTTCTCTCTCTTTCTCTTTCTCTCTCTCCTTCTCCCCTCTCTTCTGTCTTCCTCTCTCCTCTTCTCTCCTCTCCTCCTCCTCCCTCTCTCTCCTCTCTCTCTCTCTGTCTGTCTCTCTCTTCTGTCTGTCTCTCTCTCTCGTCTTGTCTCCTCGCTCTCTCTTCTCTCTCTCCTCTCTCTCTCTCCTCTCCTCTCTCTCTCTCTCTCTCTCTCTATCTCCTCCTCTCTCTCTCTCTCTCCACACATATACACACATCTGTCTCTCTGTCTCCCTCACTCTCGCTCTCTCCCTTGTCTATCACCGGTTCCGGACGAAGCATCTTTTTCTTCTTTCATGACTTTTTGTGTTTTTGTGCTTGGTGTTTACGCTTTAGTATTTGCTCTCAGGATAAACAACAATTTCTTCTTTGTCTTATCTTATTTTCTCTTATTTCATTTATTCATTCATTATTACATTTTTTTTGCTTCTGTTTTGGATTAACCCTTTGAACAGATACGATGACAGAGAAAGCGCCGGCGTCTCTGGTCTTGCGTGGTAGAAGGATGCAGGTTGCCTTGACACCCAGAGGGAGGAGGAGGGGGATGGGGGGGGGGTGGAGGAGGAGAAAGGGGAAGGGAAGAATGGAGGAGGAGGAGGAAGGGGGGAAGGAGAGAAGGGGGAAGAGGTGGGGGAGGGGGGGAAGAGGAGGAGGAAGGGAGAATGGAGGAGGTGGGGGGAGAGGAGGAGGAGGAGGAAGAGGAGAATGAAGAAGAGGGGGACAAGCAAGATGATAAGGAAAAAGTCGAGGACATGGAGGATGAAGAATGGAAGGAAAATAGGAGGGGGAAGAAAAATAATAATGGGAAGAGGAGACTGTGGACGAAAGGAGGGAATGAGAACTTTAGGCTGACAAGAAAAAGAATGTGAGAGGAATGAGGACAATATCGAAGAGAAAGTGGAAACAAAGGGAATGGAATAAAGGAGTAGGATAGGAGAAAGAATGAGGGGAGATGGAAACAGAACAAGACAACAAATCAGAAAGTTAAAAAGTGGGAGAAGCAAAGATAAGATAAAAAAAAAGAGAGATGTAAAAGCACACACAATAGAAAAAAAGATGAAATAAACATTCAGAGGATAAATAAAAGGCCTAAGAAAAATAGATAAATAGAAGTAAATAATAAAAAAAAACAGATGACAACATCTGGTGAAAACAAATATATAAAACCATTCTTGTATAAGAAATGCATATCAAGATTTATTCTTATCATCATTTCTTCTCACTCTGTCTATCTATTTATCTCTCTCTATATATCTATCTATTCTCCGTCTCCTTCTGTCTCTCCCTCCTCTCTCTCTCTGTCTCTGTCTCTCTCTTTCTGTTTTTCTCTCTATCTATCTATATGTCTATCTATTTTCATCTCTTTCTCTC